CATACCTTCTTAATCATACACCAGCTTTCCCAGTAATATACAAATGGGTCGGAAACATTTTGTATTCTTCTAAAATTGCAGACATTTGAAAAATACTTGTTGCATTATTTGACCAGCCAAGATGACATGTGCCTTCAAACCTAGGGAGATCCATCTTGGTCCCTTTAATAATGGACTTCATACATGGAGCTCTCATGTCCGCTCGTGTCATTTTGTTTTGGTGATATTGTTGGAAAGCTAGTGTGTGAGCCTTGCCTTGATTTGTTGTAGGTGTACCCATTTTAGAGGACAGGGCATGGACTGCTTGAGACTAAAAAATAGTAGGGACAATTGTTCTACCAGTCCCGATGGGCGATAAGTTGTGCAGTTCAAGATCCTCAAATTGCCTTGTTAATTCTCTTTTCATTTCTAAATGTTTTCTAAGGTATTCATTTCTTGACATTCGAGCTTGTGTTTCTACTTGTTACAAAGTAGGGGACTTATCAATATTACTAGGGCCTTCCTCTACTTCCTTTTGCTTAGTTTCAGCGGATTGATGTGTCTGTGATCTTGGAACAATGCTCATAGTTGATAATTGCATGCCTAGATCTACTACAACTATTTGTACCCGGCCTACTTGATCTAAGGTCTCACCTTGTTCAGAATGATGGATGTGACATCTTTCTAAGGCCTGGTGACATTTTGTACGAATAGCTGCCTATTCATGCTGCAATCCCACAAAATCGTCCTTCATATAGAGGACCTCTTGCAAATTGGCTTTTCATTCAGGGTGTCACCGCCATGCCCATCACCTTGATCTGAAGGGAGGGGTAAATTTCACCACTAGATTACTAGCAACCCAGTCTATCATTCAGATCCTGTCACCGCCTCGCTCCATGCCACAAATGGTATACAGATCAAGAATGTACCTGGGACTTTTCCAAAGAAGATACTCATAGGCAACCGATTCGTGCTGCTAATCTACACTCTAACGAAATTGGCGCATGCACACCACCACGCCTAGATCCGCAACCGCTAAACAGAAGGAAGGAATTGGGTGGAATTTTATGACCGTGGAGAGGAGAACCACCAACCGGAAACACCGTCGAGGAATTTTTACTCTGAATACCAATTTGTCAGATCCTAATTTGGTGGAGAATTTGTATGAACTAATGAAACCTAATCAAGTATGCATGATCTATGGCCAAATCCAAAGGGCCATGATGTGTATATTCAACTGTAAGAGTATGTATGTGTTATAGCCATACAATAGTATTGGGGTATTAATCGAATGTTCCAACCCTAGCCATAGCCTGGCTCTTTTATATGCATACTTAATTACCCACGTTAGTGTTAAATAGTATTCGAACTTTGCCAAAGCAGCAACGCGCCCAGTCCAGGATGAGCTCCAATGGATGAAACCGTGAGAGTCCTTTCTACAATAAATGTTGTTGCATCTTATTTTCATGGTGACTCCGGTGCAGTAGTGGCAAATTTGCATGAGGATCATGTGTGGCACTCGCCGGTTCATCCGTTGCCCTACAAAATTTGCTTAACTCAGCAATATCTGATGCTATGGCTGTTCAAAGAGGACCTGAGCTCGTTCAGAGCCTTAACTGTAGGAAAGTAATTTTTGAATCTGATTCACTAAAAGTAATCAAAGCATGTACATAAATCGTCACACAAACTGAGTTAATGTATGATTCAAAGTTGTCAATGTACTCGGACGATGACCCCCCTTATGCTATTATTCTAGACATTATAAATGATGCAATGATTATTTGATGAAACAAAGTGCGTCGAATGGCATTCCCTCAAAAAGACCATCATTGCCTCTCTAAAAAACTCATAGCTGGACGTAAATAGTGCCTGAGACGATCTGAGCCGTCGGGCGACAGTAATACGAAACGGAGTGAGCTCGGCCGTGGGATAACTGAAGCGGCATCTGCAAGTGTTCTCCTTTTACTGAATATATATTTCAACAGTTCATCAGGTTCAGTAGGTGGCCCGACAATGTCCTCCGCCAGGCGCCGCCGCGGCTCCTCCCTCTCCGGCGAGCCGGGCTCGTTTCCTCCTCCTCGGAGACCCCCTCTGCCCAGCATCTCGTCGTCCCGTTTTCGCGACATGTTTTTCCTTTTGGAAACCGCTGCTGCTTGCTCCCATCCGCATCTGTTCCATGGAGCCCCGCCCGGTTTCCTCTCGGAGCAGGCTCCGCTCCTGGCGGCGCCGATGCGGTCTCCTTAGCTCAGCGTCCCGCCCTGTTACACCCGAATCCAAACTGAGCTTTCGGGAGGGAGCGGGACTCCTCGCGCTGTTCGGATTCAATCCGAAATCGTGCGAGAGGCGCATACCCTGGGCGGTGCCCTTGGTTCGTCGTCGCTGGTCTCGACCCCAGGTGCCGTCGTCCTGCGTGATGGCGCTGCTGCCGCTCCAGCGGTTCCTGTCCCTGCGACGGGGTCGGCGCCGCCGGCGAACCCGAGCCCGCGGTAAGCCATCTCTCACCACCCTCGCGTTCACAGTACTAATACATAACTTGTGCAGCACAGTAGTATTAATCTATGCCTCCACGCCCTCGATGCAACAAACGGTAGGAATATGCATGCCCATGGAACCACCGCCAAAAAGTCATGAAAGGATCAGAAAAATTGGCGGCATTGATACAGGATGCATCTACCTTGCCACCAAATTTCAAGCTGAAATTCGGTACACAGCTATGAATAGTACGGGCAGATTTGAGTTTGATACTATTCACAGCCATAAATTTCCCTTTTGTGTTTCCCGGGTCGTGGATTGAATCTCGACATGAATTTTGTGACATGGTAGATGCATCTTGTATCAATATTGTCAAGTTTGCCCGATTCTTTCGGATCTTTTTGGCTCTGGCACTGTGTGTGGCTAGCAGGGAAGCGCTAAAAAAGAGGGAGGAAGGCACTAAATATGTTTTCTGTTACAATGTGTTCCGTAGCTGCCATGAATTTGAAGATGAAACCCAGGTCGGAGGAGAGCAATCGAGACCTGGCTGATGTGATAAATTATATTGTTCTGTTGGATTTGATGATATTGACACATTCGTGTGATCCGTCTCTTAAATTGAAACATATGTTCTTCTGCAAAAGTTGCATAATAATTGAAACGAAACTAGTGTTTGCGCTCATATCCTTGGATTGTTTCCTTGTGTTAATTTCCATGCATGATGTGTTGCAGGTACATCGATTGCTTCTGTGGCTAAAAGAAAAGGCTCACCCTGTCAACAAGGGGATAGTTCTCAAGATGGCAAAAGAATGAGATTTTCAGGGCCAGACCTTCCAATGGTAAGCATAAATATAAAGTTGCTGATAATGAAAGGCTTATATTGTTATATGTTTGTTTTCATCACTCCAATAGTCATGGGTACTCTTTTGCACAAATTGTTACAAACAGATCTTTCAATACTTTACTACTTTTTTACTATGACAGTAAAGAGTAAACTGTAGCTTTGTCAGAAGCCAATCATATATACTTCTCACATCTGGCATACACACTTTAAATTAAATCACATCATTCAAAACTCCGGCACCTTTGCCTTACTTACCTCAGCTCTTCGCTTTCGACGTTCAAAACCAAATTGTTTTCCCATTTGCGCAGGACTTAACTTTCCACATTCTGACTAGCTGGGTTCATTGCGAAACTTTTTACCTGATCCTTGTGTCAGAACATATTTCAGGCATGACTGCAGTGGCAATGTGTCCCATGGGTATTTCTACTCCCTAGCCTAACTACAGATTTTTCTTCCTGAAGACATGATTATTTCACTTGAGACAAATAGTACTAACGAATGGAATACGACAAAAATGCCAACTATCTCCCTAGATTGTTTATGCCAAAGTTCTGACCAATCCAAACTTTCCTCTTAAATTCACATCTCTATCTGTACCTGGGACGTTTCTTTCTTTTCCCCATGTCGTGCAATTTTTTTTATCCCTTTGAGCGCAATCTCTACAGTCTTCTTTGCTGGAGTAGTCATTTTTTGTCACTGGCATTCATAGATTCTTTATACATGTACAAATCTCATTGCTCTTTTGCCTATTATTTATGAAAACCAAAATTCCATACATAATGTTTGAAGCCGCTCTTGTATATTTAGATATATCTTACTGATAACGACAGGGGCTGTGATGTTCATTTCAAGGAGAAGAGAAATAAAGTCAGGCCCGATGGGGCTACACACCGAGGGCACCAACATCGAGGGGATGCACGAACACATATGAAACCCCAAGGACAAACATTTACCTGGAACCTACAACAGTTAAATTTCGCTGATGCTTACACATTGAACTCTAGTTTCTCTGGTTCTGTATCATGAAAAAGGCAACAAGTTTAGAAATTTGATCAAATATTGGTTGTTGAATAAAATTAGCATGCATATTCAGACGTTCACAAAAAAAAAAGCACATTCGGGCAAAGAACTGGGATTGTTCTCAGCTTTGATATGTTGAGCCTACTTTTGTAGATTATGTCGTGGTGTGATGAATTTACTGAACGAATAAAATAGTGTGTCCTTTTGATTTTTGCTGGTTTCGTAATTCACACTAGAGCGGCGGTTTCACTATATGCATTTTCCTAGAACAAGCAATAACACTATTGGGGTATAACTGACACTTTACGAAATCCATTAGTGACACTGTCAGGGAAAACACCTCTCGGTGTTAAAATGCTTGATTTAATTTCCTTTTAAAAAGGGCAGCCCGGTGCTCGTAGCTCCCGCTTGCGCAGGGTCCGGCCACTTTGGCTCTTTTGTACGCAGCTTTTCCCTACATTTCTGTAAGAGTCTGTTTCCACGACTCGAACGTGACGTCATGGTCACAAGGCAACAGCTTTACCGCTGCTCCCCTTCCCTTGATTTAATTTCCTTTGCATTATTTAAATATGTAATACATCACACTTTACGCGGAGCACCTGGGATTTCATGTTAGTTCATATCATCCTATTTTTACTCAAGTTAAAGGAGCCACTTTCCAATACAATTCAGTGTTAGTGACTTAATGTTTCTCCCATTATCTTGTTTGCAGGACGTCTGGCATCATATACATTCCCTACTGCCAATGAGAGAGGCTGCCCGAGCTAGCTGCTTGTCTCATGCATTTCAATATTTCTGGAGATGCTACCCCAACCTCACCTTTTGTAGGAGTACAATGGGCCCGAATGAACCAAAATTTCCTTTTCACCCGAACTGGAAAGATGGACAGAATTTTGTTCTCGTCAACAGAACTGACCAAATTATGAAAAACCATTTGGGCACTGGAATTAAGACATTCACGTTTCAGTACTATGGTTCTTGCTTCGACACCAGTAAGCTCGACACCAGTAAGCTTGACAGTTGGCTTCAGATTGCTGTTACTTCAGGGGTTGAAGAACTCAAGATTTCACTCTCTCTAGGATACAAGTCAGAGCACTACAACTTCCCATGCATGCTTTTATTCTCTAGGAGTGGAGGAAACTCGATTCGGAGTCTTCACCTCAAGGGATGCGCCTTCCGTCCCATGTCTGGACTTGGTTGCTTGACAAGGCTTCATCTGTATTCGGTGCATATTATGGAGGATGAGTTAGGGTGCCTTCTTTCCTATTCTTTTGCTTTGGAGGAACTGGATCTCATGAACTGCAGTGACATCATTCGCCTCAAGATACCTTGCCTGCTACACCGGCTCAGCAAGCTGGCGGTGGTGTCTGATTGCAGGGAACTGAAAGTTATAGAGAATAAAGCTCCAAATCTCCGCACTGTTTCTATCGAAAGTGACATAGTACACCATTCTATTGGAGATTCATTGCGAGTGAAGGACCTTGAAATGTTCTGCTTCTCTGAGTTTAACCTCATTCATCATACTTGTGCCAAGCTTCCAGCATGTATGCCAAATCTTGAAACTCTCAGCATTCATTCGACTGGTGAGGTATATTCCGAAACTTCTTGATTTCATCGTTAGATGCCGGTGTCATTGCTATAACAGTACTCATGCATTGGATATAATTACTTTGAAGTGCAGATGTTCAGCACACCATCAGCACCTCTCAAATTCTTCCACCTCAAACATTTGGACATTTGTCTTGATGCTGAAAGTGGGGCATTTTCCCCAAACTTCGATTATTTCTCTCTAGTATTTTTTTTTGGATGCCTGTCCTATCTTGGAGACTTTCAGGCTGAAAGTAAGTCACTTATCTTGCATATATCTGTTACCTATGGTGCACAGAACTAATAATTAATCAAGCATGTTGTTCCTAATAACTTCCTATGCAGGTTATCCAGACTCGCATGAAGCATGTTTCAGTTCTTCAAGATTCCTCACATCTGAGGCAGATTCCAGGACTCCGGCATGGCAACATCAAGAAGGTGGAGATCATCGGCTTCTGCTCTGCGAAGAGCATGGTTGAGCTGACCTGCCATATTCTTGAGAATGCAACATCACTCGAGTGCCTTACATTGGACACCATCTCAGGTGGTATTGGTATTGGCGATGTAGATGCTTATAGGCTGAATAGACACAAATTCGGTGTATGCTTCAGTGAAGGCAGGCACATGATCGTGGAAGCCCACAAAGCGGTCTTGGCTATCAAAAGACACGTTATGGTGAAAGTCCCCTCCACTGTCAAGTTAAATGTTATCAAGCCCTGCAGTCGTTGTTACCGAGGAAAAATAGAACTATCAAGTGTTCAACTGCTGCAAAATTATATGGGCTGTGTTTTCTTTCTTTCTTGAAGTAGCACATGTCCAGGCATCTCATCTCAGGGAGAATCCTGTGCGGCGCGGTTCTCGTTCCCATGGGACGCGTGTCGCATGGATGAGACGGCTGCGGAGAGAGCGTCTACATCCGGTTGTTCTGAATCAGTTTCCACAAAAAAGAGGGCAGACACCTGAACTTGGGAGGAAAAAAAAAGCTGGTAGCAAAAGCAACAAGGGGAGAGGGGAAAGGAACTTTCTTTCAAAAAAAAAGAGGGGAAAGGAACAAACGGATCTCACCTAACCATCATCACCATCTACCACAACAAGAGGGTGAAAACCATGGAAAGGGGAAGAAAAAGTATACACAGGAGATCAATTCCCTCTCACAAACTACTTGCATTCACCCCCCACACTACTTGTCCTATGAACAAATCCCTCTCATACTACTCAGTATCTGCAACAACATACACAGGAAATCTGAACATACACAGGAAATATCTACTCAAATCCCTCTCTTAGTTGATACAGGGAAACTAGTACAGTCCCCCCTCGATGAATAGACAGAAAAACTTAGTCAGGAACTATAAAAATCATCTTACTTTATACGGTGAAGCTATAGTTCAAAATAGCATGCAAAAAATTAGAACCTACAAAAGCCTTATGGTTTACAACAGAGTGGGTTTGAATATCACCTTAGGTTCTAGAAATGACACAAAACAAAATCTGCATGACTTACATGCATGCATCATACAAATTACACATCCTATGAAACAGTAAATACTTACTACCAAGCTCAGTACAATTACAACAAAAGGCACACTAATTACAGCAAGAGGATGATAGTAAAAAATGATACAATGTTCACTGTAAATTGCTCACTGAAAAAATCATACAAGCTCGCTGTCAAACTTGGTATTACCCAACAAAAACAGCAAGATGAACACAGTAAAATTCGTACAGACTGACTGTAAAGTCTGGGAACGAACCTAGAAACCGGGAATTCACATGCGGAGCATGATCAACCTCTCTTAGATTTTATAGTTACAATAACCCCTCATAGATGATACAGTTTAGCTATAGTTCAGAATTTTAGATGATTACTCAGGATAACTATGAAGCATGAACAACCTCTCCTAGCTGTTACAGAGAAACTAGGCCAAATCTTCCTCACATATTAGAAGGAAAATTTAAAACAAACATGCAGAAAATATAGAGACTTCAAAAACCTTGGGATGCTTAGAGTACAGTAGTACACAGTAGGTTATATGCATCATAAAACACATCAAGCTAATGGCAGATTCAAGCATCACACAAACACATTCAGGAAAACAATAGAGGCTAGAATGGACACTAAAATGTGGATAACTTACATACATGCATCATAGAATATACCAAATAAGTAATGAAAAATTAATATTGAACTATGTTTTGTTCTTAAGTATGCCAAACAAGTAATGAAAAATTACAATCCTTACACGGGAGTATGCTAAGTATAAAATTTTAGTATAAATATGTATATATCAAGAGGAGCAGGTGATAATAGGTGAAAATAAAATTGATGACTTGAAAAAAAATTGGAGCTACGTACACCACTGGCCGTAGACATGCAGGTCTTGCCGGAGTAGTCCCAGCGTGTTGAAATTCCGAGAGCGCCGATGAGTCGATGCAGCAGCTGGTTTCTTCCAGATCAGGCGGAGCGCTATATACCGCAGTTGGGTGGAGAAACAACAAATTATCAACACTGGATCGCGCAACGGGGAAAGATCATCGACAACTACCTAGGATATCGACCGTGTGGTGAATTACCGGCGCCCTCCTTCTCTCTCTTCAATCTCTCTCTTCCACCTCATCAAAAAACAACCGTTGCAAGGGCTATAGACAGCTGAGGTGGAACCATTGTGCTATACTATGTAATTGCAGCCGGGCGTCAAGCCGTCGCCGCTGCTGCACGGGGTGGTGGTGGTCTTGCTGCTGACCAGCCGGCGCCGCCTTAGCATCGGCGCTCCCATCGTGACGGCGTGGGTGCAACACGTGGAGGCCGACGAGGACGCATCATAGCATGTGGCTCGGAGCGGTCACGGACATTCTTCCACGGCAGCACCCTACCTCGTCGTCGCACGATCTATGGTGCAAGGAAGCTCGCACGATCAGTGTCTTGCTCCCGAGCGGGCAAAGCTATATAGGCTTAGGATAAGGTTTGTCTAGGTCTCAGTCGACTTAGACTTCGCGTAGTCTAAATCGACTGATGACGTCAGCGTATGTACAGCCCAGGCCTTTTTGTTTTGGAAAATGTTTATGTGTTGCCTTCGTGATGGGCTAGCCTGGTCTTCTACTGGGCTTTTGTCTTACTTTTTCTTATGTGCACCGTTGTGTTGATGCCAGATTTGTCTTCTCTTTCTTATACTTGGGATGTACCACTGCCTTTGTAAGTGTATTTTGCTAGGTAGCTTCAGCCTCAACAAATGATGCAGCTTTGTTGTGTTCAAATTCTTGTATTTTTTTGTTCACCGAAAAATCCTTCTATATGCTGCTTGTAGTTGGGTGTGACCGTGTGAGCTATGGGCATGCTACTTATGCTGATTTTATATTGGAGGAAAAAATACAAGTATTTAAACACAAAGAAATAAAAAAATATTTTTGCACATATATAACAATAACGCAATTATGTGCAACCAGCAGGGTGTGCAAACAATGATACAATAAAATAAGAAAGGAAGATAAAAATTAATAAATTACACACATATGGGAACACCACACACTTCTAATATTTTTTGCGCCATTAAGTTGGTGCTTATGCAGTTGCATGCGAGGTGCAACACATGCAATTGCACGCCGAGGCAGACATGCAACTAGATTGTGTGATTTGTAACAAAAAAATACACCTTGTGTAGGAAAGAAAAAAAACAAAACCAAACACAGAAATAAAAATAAGAAAAGAAAATAAGTAGACAATTGAAGTTGCAGTCGCACTGAAGCACATGCAGTTGCATTGGATGGGGGAGCACCACACTTGTAGTTGCATCTCTAGTGGTAGACATGCAATTGCCCCTCCCTCGATAAAACACCAGAGATATGGAGTCAGGGGCGACACTTACAGTTGCATGCCTAGTCACAAACGTGCAACTACCCCCCATGACAAAACACCACATAGTTGACGTCGAGGCCGACACCTTGCAGTTGCATGCCTAGTGGAAGACAAGCAACTGCCCCCGTCCCCTTGATTAAACACCACAAAGCTGCAACCGCGTTGCGAACATGCAGTTGCAGTCGGGGACAATACTTGCAGTTGCATGCATAGTGGTGGACATGCAAATTGCCTCTCCTCCATCCGACAAAACACCATTGAGTTTGAACCACATGGAAGACATGCAGTTGCATTCGAGGCTGACACTTGCAGTTGCGCAACTAGCGACAAACATGCAACTAACCCCTCACGTGACAAAAAAATGCAGAGTTGCAGCCGCGTTGAAGACATGCAATTGCATTTAGGGGGCGATAATTGCAATTGTGTGTCTAGTGGTGGACATGCAATTGCCTCTCCGACAAAATACCACTGAGTTGCAACCACGTGGAAGGCATGCAGTTGCAGCCGAGGGCAACACTTCTAGTTGCGTGCCTAGTGGCGGACATGCAGCTGCCTCCCCCCCTAATAAAACACCATAAAGTTGCAGTCGCGGACAACAAACGCAGTTGCGTGCCTATTACAGATATGCAACTATACCCCCCTACAAACACCACTAAGTGGTCACATTGAAGATACGCAGTTGCAGTCTGGGTCGATACTTGTACTTGCATCCCTAGTGACAGAATGCAATTGCCCCGTCCCCTTTGACTAAACACCCCAAAGTTGCAACCTTGTTGAAGACACACAGTTGCAGTCAGGAACGATGCTTGCAGTTGCATGCATAGTGGTGGACATGCAATTGCCACTCCTCCGTCCGATAAAACACCACTGAGTTTGAACCGCGTGGAAGACATGTAGTTGCATTTGAGAGCAACACTTGTAGTTGTGCAACTAGTGACAAACATGCAACTAAACCCTCACTTGATAAAAATGGTACAGAGTTGCAGTCGCATTGAAGACATTTCAATTGCATTTAGGGGCGACACTTGTAGTTGCGTGTCTAGTGTTGGACATGCAATTGCCTCTCCTCCGCTCGACAAACACCACTAAGTTGCAACCATGTGAAAAGACATGCAGATGCAGTCGAGGGTGACACTTGCAGTTGCATGCCTAGTGGCAGACATGCAACTACCCCTTCCTTGATAAAGCACCACAAAGTTGTGTCTAGTGTTGGACATGCAATTGCCTCTCCTCCGCTCGACAAACACCACTAAGTTGCAACCATGTGGAAGACATGCAAATGCAGTCGAGGGTGACATTTGCAGTTGCATGCCTAGTGGCAGACATGCAACTACCCCTTCCTTGATAAAGCATCACAGAGTTGCAGCCGGGGAAGACACTTGCAGTTGTGTGCCTAATGGTAGACGTGCAACTACACCCCCAACAAAACACCACTAAGTGGTCGCATTAAAAGACACGCAGTTGCAGTCAAAGATGACACTTGCATTTGTGTGCCTAGCGACAAAATGAAATTGCCCTTCCCCCAACAAAAGACTAATACATTACAGTCAATGGTGACACTTACAGTTGTGCCTAATAGCAGGCATACAAGAGAAAGGTTTTAAAAAGCAAGAAAAAAGAAAATATAAATAAATAAGGAAATAATAAAAATGTTTAAAAAGCAAATAAAAAGAAGAAAACTATAAATAAAAATGAAAAAGGGAAATGGTAAAAATACAAATGCAAAATAAAATCAACAACACGAGGATGCCAATTTCTTTTGTTAAAAAATACTTACAAAAATATAAAAAAGAGACAGGAAAAACAAATAAAAAGGAACACACAATAAAAGCGGAAAAAGTCAGGCCATCACACATCCTTTCCCACACAAAATTTTTAGGACCAGACGCACCCTAAAACAGCCCGTCACAAAAAAAATTGGAAGCAAACTGATTGGACACGAGAGAGAAAC